CAAGAAGATGTAAAACTTCAGATGTAATTATTGGATTTGTACTATTTTGGTCTAAAAGGTTTTTTACTAGAATAAAAGTTTCTGCAGGAGGGATACTAGGAAAAAGATTTTTTACGTCAAATGAAATTAATCTGGAGTTGTTAGGTAATTGAAAATGTTGTATTTTATTAACTAGTTCTATTGTATTTTTTATGGTAAATTTAGGTGAAAATTTAGTGTGGTCTAAAATAATCTCTAACAGTTATTTTGACATTTTATATGACGGAGCTGTATAAAAAGAAACTACAGGTCTTATTGGGTGATCCGGTTTGTGTAGTTTAATGAAAGAATATAATTTAGGAGGTTGTGGGTTCAAAATATTAAGGTATTTCTGTTCTATTGGATTTACTATTGTTTTTGAATTTTCTAACGCTAGCTTAATTTGTTTTTGATATTTTTCTGTCGGATCTTTGTGTAAAGTCCTTGTGTTTTCCTAGTATCCCTCCTGCAGAAACTTTTATTCTAGTAAAAAAACCTTTTAGACCAAAATAGTACAAATCCACTAATTACATCTGAAATTTTACATCTTCTTGAAGTTTGCATAAACCAGGACTACTTTGAATTTAATAATAAAATATATACAAATAACAGTGCAGGACTTATAATGGGTAATCCTCTAAGCCCATTGTTATCAGATATTTTTATGGATCATCTAGAGACAAAGATTTCAAAACATCCCGTATTCAAACAGTTTTTATATTGGTGGAGATACGTAGACTACGTAATGGTATGTTTCACAGGAACTAACCGGCAACTCGACCAATTTTTATCATATATTAATTAACTTCTTAGTCATATTGAATTTACAATAGAAACAGAACAAAATCAATCCATAAATGTTTTAGATTTAAAAATTAGCAGACTTCAAAACAAACATGACTTCTCCATATTGCATAAACCTACCCATACTGACACGACTATACACAACTCGTCATCCCATCCAACACAACATAAACTGGCAGCTTATCATAGTATGTTACATAGATTAACAGAAATTCCGATGTCAAAATACAACTTTGAGACAGAATTAAATATAATTAAATAAATAGCAGTAAACAAGGAATACAACGAACAAACAATTAATAAAATGTTAAATCAAAAACTACACAAGAAAGCCCTGAAATTAGTATTTCCACCATTAGAGAAAAAACCCAATACCTTCTGCTCGATTACATATACAGGCAAAATAACAACAGAAATTGCCAAACACGTAAAAAAGAAAGGAATAACACCAGCTTTCCGAACAAATAACAACCTAGGCAAATATATTAAAAATAACAAGAGCTAAAATAAAAAATACTTAAATAGTGGTGTGTACAAACTTCAATGTGGCGACTGCCCAAAAACTTACATCGGTCAAACTGGTAGAAACTTTGATAAACGAATAGCAGAACATAAAAGGGCTTTCAAGAATAGAAAAACAGATTCGACATATGCACTTCACCTTCTAGATCATAATCATTCTTTTAATGACAAATTTAAAATTCTTCACATTCAAAATAAAGGCCTTAAGCTATCTTTGTTAGAATCTATGGAAATCAACAAATTAAAAAACACAGATATAATTCTAAATGAGCAACTTGAGACAAACAGTTCTCCCCTCCTCAACCTATTTCATTAGAGACTATAAATTTGTAAACCCAAGCCAAAATAGACCACTTGAGAAAGGCAATCAGCCGAAACACTGTAGTGATAATATTTAAAATACATTTTGTGGAAGTTTGAAAACACAGTTTTCAGTGTTTTATTGTTACATAAAATGAATTTCCATCAAGTAACGGTCGAATCCATCAATTAATTACATTTTACGTTATTTTTTTTTCAGGATTTTAATTTTTTCCATTGCTTGTTTGTACATATTTCTTATCTCCTGTATTTTATGTTGCTATCTCTGTTTCCTAGTCTTTTGGTATTTCTTTCATTTATTTAGCTTTATTTATTTTAATTCTGATTTTGTTGTTTTTAGTTTTAAACTTTCCAAATTCGTTGTATGCTCTGGTCGTACGATGTTTTTCACTGGAGTCGATCATTTTTAGTAGCTTTTATTATTCTTATATGGCTGTCAAACCACGCAAACCATGCAGGCTGTCGGATTTCTGACCCTTATCAATGTTACAGGTATTATTTATATTTTTTTCTACGACTTTTGTTTTATATGCAATATGTCATAAATTCTTATTATCTGAAATCTCATTGGCAACATCGGAAATGATTTGACTACGTGTCCCTTATCTTTGCCTTCGATTTTGTTTAGTTTTCCAGCTCCAGTTTTGCATTCGTTTATTACTTTAAAAACTTTTAAATGGAATGTATGTCTTTTAATTGGTTGTTTGTATAACAATATAACAAGAAGAGCACAACTTCTTTATTACAGTTTCTTTAACTATTGCTTTTATTTTTTTTACCTTATGTCATTATGTATTGACATTTCAAGTTAGGGTTTTGTTTATAATTTAAGGCAGAAAATTTCGAATTTTGCCTTTAATATTGTGGAATTGGCAGTTAAACTGCATAATTTATATAATTAATTAAAAAATTATATTTCCCTGACGTATTTTCCATTTGGTGATAGTTATTAAAAAATTTCTCCACTGAGATCTCATACACGGACCAATTATATACAAGCTATACGCCCCCGAAGAAGCTGAAGCTGTTTTCACTTGAAGATCATTTTTGTGTGGGGGATCATCCCATTCTGGGTTTGTTTTACAGTTTCTGGTGTGACTTCGCTGATTCCACTACTTTTCGTCATTCTTCTCTCTCTTTGATTGTCCTTTCTATATTTCCAATTTCTATACTTCTTAAGCCTTATTTCACTTATTGTCTTTATTTCAGTTAAGGCCTGCCTCTGGTTCTTTTACCTAGTGGTATCCATTCCGTTTTAACTACATACTAACGGTTAATTCTTGTTTTTTTTTTAATTATGTGTCCATACCAGTGCCGGATTAAGGGGGGGGGCTATGGGACTCTTAGCCCCCGGCGGTAAATTTTGAGAGGCGGTACGTCGCTCCCATCACGCTTTTGTTTTATGGGGTTGATTTTCTAAAATATCATGGTAATAATAATAAATTACGTAAGATGCCACAAATAAATAGCTTCAGAACAATATTAATAAAACTTCGTCTCGTCACCGATAAGATCCGTGCCTGCAGTAGCAGGTCGCACAAAAACACGTTTCATGTTTCCGGGAAATCCACTGCGCGTGGCGAGAGCGTGTCCGGCTCCAACACGGTATGTCGTCAATCGTTAGTCGTGTTAGCGCAGTTTTCGAGACTAGTCTCAAATTTTACTTATTTTTATTAGTAAACTGTTTTCGTGACGTTTCTAAAACATGGGAAAAGGAAGGGATGCGGAAAGGAAGGAGGTGCATTTGGAAGCGACAAAAGTTAGAAAAACAACAAAAATTAAATGCAGTCTTCAAAAAAAACCCCAAGATTCAGCTTTTTTTACCAAATCCAGGCAAGATAGTATACCAACGAACACTTCTTTTCAAGACGATCCAATTGCAACAGTTTCAGATGTTTTAGAAGGTAGGTTTATGAGACTGTTTTAGTTACTTTTTTAATAAAAAAAAATTTGCAGCAGGATCTTCATCACGTCGAGATGATTCATCCACAGCAAATTCAGACCCACTTTGTGATATCGAGTTACATCCTTAAAAGAGTTCTCCTAAACGTCAAATTCTAGTCGAAAGTGGTGTTAATCAAGTTGATTTACAAGATCCAAAATTCTGGCCAAGAAATTGTGTAGATGAAATGCTGAAAGAATTCAAAACACAGGATCTTAATTCTTTAGACTTGAATATTCAAAAAATATTTAACTTTTGAATATTCAAAAAACAGGGAAACAAAATAGGGAAACAAAACAGGTACTGCACTAAATCACTATTTTATAAGGTTCTAAAGAATGGTGAAAAAATTCGGCGTGACTGGTTAGTTTATTCCAAAAGCACAGGCTCTTTATTTTGTTTATATTGTCGACTCTTTTCAAGCAAAAATTGCACTTTTTCTGTTTTTACCGGATTTGACGACTGGAAACAGGCTAAAGAAAAATGTGACAGTTATGAAAGATCAGTCGTTCATTTAGAACATCTTAAAAATTTTATTTCAAGAAATTCATTGAGTATGAGAAAGATCGATGATTCTCTGCGGCAACAGATTGGACATGAGACCACATATTGGCGAAACATATTACAAAGAGTCGTTTGTGTCATAAAATTCTTAGCTAGTAGGGGACTACCTTTTAGAGGAACTGACGAAAAATTTGGTTCGACTAGCAATTTCAATTACCTTGGATTACTAGAGTTGTTGTGGGAATATGAACCTCTTTTAAAAGAACATAATGAAAAATATGCTTCAAACATCTGTGGTTGAGTATCTTATTTATCAAAAACAATTTGTTTTGACTTAATTGCTTTCGGACCACATATTAGAAGAAATTGTATAACAAATTCATTGTGGCAAATATTATTCAATCAGTGTTGACTCTACGTCTGATATAACACGTACAGATCAACTGACATTCATTATTAGGTATTGCTCGGACACCGGAACACCTGTCGAGAGGTTCATACATTTTTAGACAACACTGGCCACAAAGCCGAAGATATGGAAGCCAGCATTGTAAAAAATTTTGTCCAACCTGAATATAAATATCGATGACTACAGGGGACAATCGTATGACAATGCGAATAACATGTCTGGCGTTTATAGCGGTCTCCAAGCCCGAATAAAATCTAGGAATAGTTTGGCAAAATACGTACCATGTGCAGATTCCCTTAATTTGATTGTACAGCATGCAGCAGAATGCACTATGGAAAGGCAATTTGGCAAATAATCTGAAATCTAAAGGAAAAGCTTATGAAGATCTTGCCATCACTTTCTCATTTTTATTTTCTCTACCTCTTTCAGAGGATAACGTTATTTCAGACAAAGCGTCGGTATTAGTGAATATTTATTCGAATGACTAGGATACATCTCTACCAAGTGAGTGTATTTAATTAAAACATTTTATAATGTCACTACTAGGCCAAGTTGAGTATAAAAATCCAATAAATCACAGTGCTACTTTTGTGATGGAGCTTTTGCATAAAAATAATATAATTGCAACCTTCCTAAACGTAGAAATAGCACTAAGAATCTTCTTATCGTTGATGGTTACTAATGCAACTGGTGAAAGATCATTTTCCCTTTAAAACGGGGTCAAAAATTATTTGAGAAATTTGATGACGGCAGAAACATTAAATTCGTTCGCTGTTTTAAATATGAATAATGATCTGCTTACAAAATTAGATTTTAATAAAATCATTGACCTGTTTGCAAGTAGGAAGTCCAGGAAAATTTGTTTGTAAATAATTATGTTAATTTACTTTATAAGTTGTGAGTTTGTGTCTTTGTGGCTTTTTGTAATAATATTAAAATAGTTTTAATGAATTATTAACCTAAGGCAAGGCGCTCACCAACATCATCATCTTTGGCTCGACAATCCTCTGTGGATCTTGGCCTGCTCTAAGATTCGTCGCCATTCTGTTCGGTTTTTGGCAACATGTTGCCATCTTCTGATTTTTTAATATTCGTAAGTCGGTTTCTACTTTATCTAACCACCTAATTCGCGGTCGGTCTTTGCTTCTTTTTCCTACAGGTGTTCCTGTGATTAGTTTTTTAGCAATGGTATTTTCTGGCATTCGTATTATGTGTCCAGCCCATCTAAGTTGCTGTGTTTTAATGAACGTTATGACATCTGGCACATTAAAGAGCTGATACAATTCAAAATTATATTTTCTGCTCCACTGCCCTTGGTCCTTTACTAATAAGCTTATCTTAAAATTACTGCAAATATAGTTTACGTCCGCAGAAGGAAAGCGCCATCCAGAAGCACAAATTTTGGATTTTCGGTAGAGCCTTCAGCCTCCGTTAGTCGCTATTGATCTCACACACCGACGACAGAATTATTCATTCGGGATTTACAAATAACTGTTATTTTTCTATCGCCACTTTCTGTACCTCTCCCTATCAACCAAACTCGTGTTAGTGTACACCTTCCTGGCTACAGTTGTGTGAGTTTTATAGTTATTTTCAGTGCAAGACTCCGTAGCGACTAACGGTGTAGCTATTACTTGTTGCAGAACTTGCAGAACAGGTAAACATTTATCATCTTATTATTGTATTTTATCGGTAATTCTTGTGTCAATTCTTATTTATAGATGTCCTTTGAAGCCGAACAACTTTAATTCCAAGGCTTGTTGGAATTATGGACAATGGTACCTATCGATGATGAAAATTATTTTGACGATGAGGGAAGTGAAAGCGAAATCGATCAAATTGAGGAACGTGATGGTAAAAGTGAATTGGAACAAGATGTGACAGATGAGAAAGAAGAAAGTGGAAGTAATACCTTAGCGTTTATTGGAAAATATAGAGTGACTAGACCGAAAAAGCTATTCCACCGTGAAATGTTAGAACAAGACAAGAAAATTACATAGTACGTAATACAAACTAATGTTTGCACTTTTAGAACGATATCCGAAGTGGAAATTAAAACGTCAATAAACTTAATTTAACCTTTAATTGTGGCTTATTCCCATTTAAATAGTAATTGCTTTAAAATTCCACAAGAAAATAGCTTTAGAACAATATTTACAATATATTCTATACTAGTGTTTTTAATTTTGTATCTGTTTTTTTGTCAATAAAATATTTTCAAAAATATTTTTCAGTTATTCCTATACACAATATAAAATATTTGTATAAATTTTATATTAAAAACTATTTTTTTAATTGTCGGTCTCAGACACCGTCGCGACTCTTGATGCTCAGTTTTTCCTAGCGACTAAAGGTCGATTCAAACACATCAGTCCCGTCACAGTCCCGGCGCCGAACCGGTCCTGTTTGGTAACAGAACTATTAATTATCTGACAGCTGGGAAACTCTTCGTCAACTGATGAATGTGAATGTCGGCGGCATATTTCTATTAAAGAATATTTTGTATGACGGATTGTTCGGTTCGGCGCCGGGACTGTGACGAGACGTGACTGATGTGTTTGAATCGACCTTAACGGATGGTTAAGTGACACTGAAGATGGAATCTAAATCAACAGACAGTCAATTAGTAATCTTCGCTATGCTGATGATATAGTCATAATAGCTGGTAGCCAAGAAGCGCTACAACGACTAATAGATAGAATAAACACTGAAGGAGAACGACTGGGTTTGAAGAATAATATAGACAAGTCGATGGTAATGGTGTTCACTAGAACACAAAATATGCAATTAAGTATAAGAGTAAACAACAAGAACATCCAAAAAGTCCTCAAGTTCAGATATCTCGGTAGTTGCACAACTGAAGATCTAGATCTAGACATAGATATACGTAGCAGGCATGAGCAAGCCAGAACAGCCTAATATCGATACGATTTACGTTTCGATATCGCTTTGTAAAATGTTACGTTTACTCCATACTGCTATATAGTGTAGAAATCTGGAACATAAAGGCCAATGTGATAAACCGATTGGAGACCTTTGAAATGTAGGTATTTAGAAGACTACTTAAAATTACCAGGACAGATTACACAACAAATGTCGAAGTATTAAATCGAATGGGCAGAGAACGAGAATTGCTGCCAATATAGAAGGAAAACGGGGCATCGGAAGAAAGAAATACTTATGGCTTAAAAACATAAGAGATTGGACAAACTTCGATGCCAATGCACTCTTTAGAGTCACACAAAATCAAGAGGAGTATGCCAGAATTGTCGCCAACATCCACTAAATGGATAGGGCACCATAAGAAGAAGAAAAGAACTTTGAAGGTTAAATTTAGTATAAAAAACTAGATAAGGAACAAAAAAAAATTAAAATGTATGCAAAGTAAACGACATACGACCAAGATGATAATATTCTTTCTGGTATGGCCATGAAGTATACTATAAAAAGTATACCTTTGTGGTATAGTAGTACCCACAGACCAACACACATTATCCATATACCACTAGAAGGGCATTCCAAAAGGTGAAGAAATTCCGGCAATCCATTTTATTTAAAAATATGAAATTATTACTATATAGTTAGGTGATAGAACTGTATCAAAAATATTGAAACTAAAACATATTATTATTATTTTGCAAAAACGTAATACATCTATTGTAACAATGTATATTATAATATTATAATAATTAATTTAGTTTTTGTGTAATTCATTATGTATTGAATAACCAAATGTCCCTGATCTTTAAAATAAGTATAAGTATCTATTGTAAGAAGACATTACAAACAATTAAAAGGATAACTTCAGCAAGCGACAATATGTCGAAATAATTGTGTGATACAGTTCTTTCAAGATTCTATTTATGTCGTGTTGATTTACTTGGGTATCTCCATAAAAAGGCAGCGTGAGTACACAATTCTCAAGACTTTTGTGGCCTTTTACTTCATCTTTTAACAAATCAGTGGTGTAGCGCGAGGGGTTGCTATTTATGTTTTAAGGAAGACTCTTAAAAGCCAATATGTATGAGCAAAAATAGATTTGTTTTAAAAAATATTTTCATACGTACTAAAATATATCAAATAGAGTTATCGGTAGAGTGAAATGGTAGATGATAAAACAAAAATGCGGCTTTTTTATACCTTTATTAAAACCCCAAATGTCATAAGAATTTATTAGAAAAGTCATCTGATTTATGCGAAATCAATAGATAAGTGTAATTAGAAGTAGCGGTGATGATTTCTCTGTATATAACGTCTTTCTTGCGTTAGTTCAATAATATTTCAATTTAGATTTATAAATTGGATAAATTATTATTTTATAATTCGAGTTAGGCCATTTGATTTAAGTGTACAAAATATTGTACGATAGGAAAATGTCATACTATTTATTTTTAAGGGCTTTTCATTGAAGGATACGCTTAGTATGTTAGAAGATGATGAAAATTTAGTACCAAATGTAGATAGTATTACTTTGATGTCTCCAATAAATATATGTGATGTCCTAACAGACGAAGACTCGGTAATGAAGATATAATGTTGATAGATAATTTACCTGGGTCGCAATTACAAGCTTCCGCTGAAATAAATGTGCAAAATAATGACGGTGACGCATTAGTAACCGATTCTCAAGTTAATATTTCATTACCTGAGCAGGTAGAAAAAAAAACAGTTAAAGGGTCTAAGAAAAAAAATCTACCACTGGGCAAAAGAAGACATTCAGATGGAAAACTAATGTATCATTGTTAACGAACTTCCAGAAAAACATGATTCTAAGAGTATCCTTGAATGGTTTATCCTTTTTTTTTATGAAGAACTGATACACTTGATAATGTCAGAAACTAATCGATATGCTTCATAGAAGAATCGCTAATAAGAAGTTCGAGAATATGAAGTCAAAGCTTTTCTGGGAACTTTCATATTGAGTGGAAATGTCAACATTCCTCGCAGGAGAATGTTTTGGCAACGTGACAGAGATGCTAACAATCAACTTGTGACAAAATAAGCTCTTACGAGAAATAAATTTTAATTTATTATATCAAATTTTCATCTGGCAGATAACTCAGCAGGAGTTCAACCAATTCATCTTGTGAATACCGTAAAGCGGTATTCACAGAAGAAGAAGAAGACGATCCAGGTATGAAACAAAATAGACAATCTTCCTCTGTAATACTAGTAATATTTATTATTTCAAGTAGAACAACCTACGCATCTCGTACATGAGTTTAATGTAAACATGGGCGGAATAGATTGAAGTGATCAAAATATTAGTCTTTAACGCATTTCTCTTCGCGACAAAAATGGTATTTTTCATTAATCAATCAATGCATTGACATGGCTGTTGAGAATGCCTGGCAACTTCAATGTTTGCATGGAGGAAAACTGGACCAGTTATCATTCAGAAGGCACATTGCAACATCATTGTTACAACGAAATAAAAAACCTACTTCCTATTCTCGAGGTCGTCCATCAGCCAATGTAAACATTGATATTCGCTATCATCGAGT